TGTTTTAGTAGTTGGGTTCCCGTCAATCATTAATGGAAAATGATCAACGTTTTTTCGGGTGGTATACATTCCAAATTACTTCCAGTATGCAGGTCTCACCCGATTCGATTTTTATTACATTTTCTGGTTCAATGTTCAAAACTTAAAATTTCGTTTCACCGCCATTATAATTTAGGCTAGTTGTTTATGTACACAATATAAAAAATAAATGAATAATTGTATCTTTTTTTTTAATTATATAAGTCCCCCCCCCCAAAATTAATAGAAATGTTGTAGTGATGAATTACAATTATTTATCACTACAACATACGGGCACGTAACAAAAAAATATTCAAACGGGGGGGGGGGGGCATAAACAAATTGTCACCGACCAGTTATTGTAGTCATCGATGATTAACATAAATAAAATTCCACAACTATTAATTTTGGGGGGGGGGACTTATATAATTAAAAAAAAAGATACAATTATTCATTTATTTTTTACCAGAATTGAACCAGAAAATGTAATAAAAATCGAATCGGGTGAGACCTGCATACTGGAAGTAATTTGGAATGTATACCACCCGAAAAAACGTTGATCATTTTCCATTAATGATTGACGGGAACCCAACTACTAAAACAAAAAATCAGCAAAACGCATAATATATCAGTTTGAACAAGTCGAACTCAATAACGCGATCTCATGGCTACAAAAATCTACTCGTGGTGAGTACCTATAGACCACGGTACCTCACTACGAAGACGAAATCGAGAGTAGGTAACGTTTTTAATGACGTAAAGAAATAGCTATTAAATACAATTAATTACAGAGAAAGCGTCCAATAATATGTATCAAGAGACACTGTGGGAAATTTGGCGGACATTGATTTACATTGCAGAAAGTTGACAATGAAACCGGCGCGAACGATACATATACTATTACATCCCTAATCCCAAATGCGACCGGAAATAAACATATTTCCGGACGTAAATGTAGAAAACATATAAGAAGTTGGCCATAGGTTTGATCGGTTTTGCATGTGATCTAAACGTTGTACCTAAAACTGTTTGATGATATTATTATGTTGGAGACAATTAAAATTGTGTACGTGTTATTTATATAGGTAGGGTCATTCGTTGTGAGATATTCAACAAGGACAATTTGAAAAATACAATAAACCTGCAGTGGTATCCAGAATGTCGAAATAATTGATTTTCGTCTAGAGATTTAAGTCAACCACAACAAGCTAGGTCTATAGGTTTATTATTATTTCCAGGTTTTCCGACTTTGTCCAGTATGTGCGGATTCATTGTGGGATGTGGCTGTAACACAGATCGCCGTGCTAGACCGGTAATATCACTAACCAAAATTTATCCTTGTTCACGTTATCCCTAAATAGTTCTCCGAAATTAAAAAATAAAATTACATATTACATACAATAATAAAATAATAACGATGAAATAATAATATGTTTCATGTATTATGTCGTGTCCAGACATAGTAAAATAGTAAATAAAACAAAAACTCAACTTTCTATCACCACAGACAGGACTTTCTAAATTGTTTTGTTTTAATTAATTTTGATATCTCTGTGTAGACCCTGGCATATTGTTGCTGTTATAAACTTATAAGTCATTAATACTGACGTACTTTAATTAAATAAAATCAATATTTTTAAAATTATCGGAAAGTGCATTATAGTAAGTGCAGTAATACAGGTGTGGTAAATTATATTGTAAATAATAGTATAGAAAAAAAATAATCATAATACATACGATTATATTATGCTATAAAAAATATAAATACATAAAGAATGTCATAAATAAATGATCAAAAATAATATTGATAGTTGTATACTTAGGTGTCTTATCGCTGTTTTAAATGTATTTTAATACATAATAATAATAATATATACATATTTTTTACCACAGTACTACTAGTTCGTGGACTTTTTCCACCAGTTTTGTAACAAAAAAAAAATAATAATAATGACTTAAAACACTATGGGAATTTAATAAAATATCCAAAATCAAATTGAATTATTTAAGAATACAAAAATAATTATTTTATTTTAGTTATATTCAACTTACCTATAGTAGGTATACTAAATGATTGTTGGTTTTATTTTTATTAAATGGGTAAATTAAATAAAGTATAAAAATAATCATGATCCACTTACTTAAGCTCGAATGCCAAGCAATCGCACTGCCATCTGTTTTACAGCCGCAGTGAACCTGGCAAAATATCCCGTCGGGCCTTCGCTCACTGGTGGCGAGGATGAACTCAGAACGGTCGGAAACAACGATAAATCTATGGACGTTACGCCGTCGTTGTCGTCGACTCTGGTCTGGATTAAAATCAATTTCTTCGACAGTTTGGATAAGGCTGAGTTTATTGTGTTTTTCCAACTGTCTTGGCTGAATATCGAACGACGAATGACCATAAACGTCACGTACACCATTTTGACCGTCTCCAACATGTCGTCAAACAGTTTCAGGGACCACGTTTGCGCGACAGGCAATAACCGATCGAACGTCTGCCTAACCTCTAATATTTTCTCTAAATTTACTCCCGGAATTTTGATCGTTTCCGTTTCGATTGCTTCCTAGGGGATGCTTTTCGAGTGTTACTGCTTGGTAGCTACTCCCCTAGACCATTCACAGCCAACATTATATTACACGCACGTGCTCATTGCGAAAATGTTACAGATTGTATATATTCTAATAAATGTTTAAAAAAATAAAAATAAAAAATATATATTACGTATTTTATCATAGGAAATAAAATATCAGGTACACTCGGCACTGTTTATATCACGAGTATTTACATTATAATGAATTTTACAGTATGAATTTGATCCACATAAATATATATTTCTGTATTCAAATAAATGTATTAAATTGTAAATAGTTTGATAATCCAGATACTAGGTAGTACCTACATTTTGATATTTTTTCAGTTTTCAATTTTTGGTTAGTAACGAAGAAAATATACTCACAGTTGTACTTACTACACCCGGCAATAACATATTTTCAAGGGCAGTTCTCGTTTTCTCAAGCTCTTATTTAACACAATAATACACTATAATATACAACGTAATATTATATCCTTTCTTTGTATTGATAATCTTGGAATTATTGATTAATAGTTTTCATGTGTGTTTCACATTTCCGCTCATTAGTTGACTGAACAGCTTTTACCTTCACCTACGTCAATGTCGACTAACAGTATTGTTACGATATTCTATAGATATACGAACACAATATATTATAATTAGCTAAGCTATGGTAAACCGTCGGCGTGTACATAAAGTGTGTACCTATATATATATATATATAATATGTATACATAATATAACCGTATTAAGTGTATTACACATATATAACTAAATTAGTGAAGCAGATTGAGAACTTAGAAATTTCAGAATTAAAACTACTCGTATACACAATATAGTATGTACCTACTACAATATTATGTGGCTAGAAACCGGAGTAAAAATGGAAAATAAATAGTATTAGTACATAATGTTTTAATTATAAAATATGTGTTAAATTAAGTCTTAAAAAATCGTGAGAATTCAGTAGGTTACCTACCGCATATACCTATAATACTCGTATAATATATTATTAGATACTAGAAAATACAACTGCGGTATGCATATATTATATAATAACATAATAGGTATATTTTAATAGAAATTTAAATTATATGGTGCCTGGCAACGGCTTGAATTTAAAGTAAGTAACCCATTAAATGTAACATCGCGACCAAACCGGGGGAAGGTTTTTAGAGCAAATTTAATTTAAACAGCCCAAGCGTATAGAGACAGTGAGCTATACGAAATTCAATACCAGTGAATAGTTTACTTACAAGAAGTATTTTTTAATTGTTATTGACGTACATAATTTGTTTTCTGTACATTTGGGCGTATACCTTTGCTGTATATCCGAATAATGTTATAATATAGGCTTTTCTACCTTAAATTAATAAATACATTTAATACATTTTTATGTACGCATAGTAAACTGTTCAGTATATTTGGATCAGCTGATACTTTGAAATTGACATTCCTAAACTAAGCAGTGACTATTGCAAAAATTACGATTTTTAGTTCAACTATATTCCGTACATTTTTTCGGGAAAATTAAGCACACACGTTTTTCAAATTTGTCGTTTGCTCGTTGTTTCATATTATGTCATAATATTCTCCGCAATATAATTTTAAAACAATTTTTTGACTACAACAGTATTGCCGTTCCTTATTTTAAAGTGTTTACCTACCTACATATTATATCGCTTAAAAATATTATTAAACGATATTATATAATACAATCGAAATGTTTTAAATTTAAAACGAAGTCTGTCTCATGAACGTAACACGTGAACATATTATTTTATACCAGCTGCCTACATAAATTGTATAAATGCGGGTATTGCGAAAACGCACGGAATATTAGAAAACCGGGAAATAAGGGTGGCACTAATTACACTCTATGACTAGCTGTAGCGTGGGCGAAGAATTGTCGTCGGTCCAAGAAAACGAACCTCATTTATTTTAAAAAGGACAGTTGAATAGGGGAAGTTGACTAAAACCGTGAACCCAGGGTCCGCTGCTCAGCGAAGGGTGTAGGAGAGCAATGTAGTACGTATATATATACAACTATAACTCGAGTCGTTTAAACATATACATATAGTGTGTCGCAAAGGTCCCGTATAACTTTTAGAATTTCCGTGAAAAATCAATGTATTTAAATGTTGTTTTCTCGACAGCAGTCTGTTAAAAAAAAATGGCATGACTTTCAAAAAAAAAATCACGCTGCGATTTGACTTTCAAAACCTGTCAAGCGGATATTTTTTTTTTTTTGATTTTTGAAAGAACTATAATCACATAAAAATTGAGTACAAAATTACCTATTCAGATGGGTAATAATGTATTCAGCGACTGAGACTGAAATACCTCATGGTACACTGGCATGGGAGTATGGGACTATTAGAACATGTTTTATATAATTGTTATAATTTTATATAGGTACCTAAGTATATGCGCACAGTGTAGGTACCTACCATTTATTTATGCGTATTTGGAGAAGTAAAATACTGAGTGGACCAAAGTGGAAAAATAAAAACGATTTCCATCGAGATAAAGTACTGCAGCTCGTATTTTTTATACTATACAACTATACAAGCGAATGATTTAGTTTTCGTTGTATTATTGTAGTAAATACATACAAACTAACAGCTAATCGAATATGTAGGTAGTTTAAACTACGCATAGTAATGAAATCGGTCACGTGATACTACAATATTATAGCTGATGAATATGTATCTTATTTACCATTGACGGCACACGGAGATATGTTAGCACTGAGAAGTTCTAAATAACTATAATATAACATGGTGTGAAATTATAGAACAATATATTATTATGCCAGTATATCGTTGATTATAATTTCTAAATAATGACTTAATACAATATTATTTTGTCAAAGGCAATGGGTTTAATTTAATTTCTGGGGCAAGGGAGGTGGCACTTGCCCCCTGAGATTTTTGTGGGGTGAAAGGGTATAATTTCAACCCCCCCCCCCCCCCCCATTGAATATTCTTAGGCCAAGAAAGAATGCAAGACGTTTAACATAATGTTATAATATTAAAATATTTTTTCGTCAAACTTTTTCATAAAAGATTACATATATTTTATTTTATGTTTCTCTTGTTGTGTAATGTATTGATATTACTTATTAGATAAATTGACTTATCGTCAATACTCAATGAAATAGTTGAACATAGTTGAAGGGCTAACTCCATGGTTATCTCAATTATCGTATTTAATAGAGTCATTAAATTATTCGTTGGTTGTTATTTATTGTTCATCAAATATAACACATGTGCAAATAATATTTATACTAGTTAATAGATACTTTTTTAAGCTACTTATAGCACATTTTTATTAATGAACTCTTATGTAGGTTCTTAATACTATTTAACAATACAAGTCCCAGTACCTGCCACCTACAATTATTTCTAAACTATAAACACACACACACACCATTAATACATCATCAGTCATTATTAAACCAATACATTTGTATTGCTACATTATAATAATTAATAATACTGCTCAAAATCTAAAATGTGAAACTTATAGGAACATAATAATAACTACTCCAGAAAAAGTTTAGTTATTTTTATCACCTATCATTATACAAATGGCTATAATAAACTAAAATATGTTGTCCATATAATAATAAACGGTCCTGAGTGTTCTAACGTTTTTCCTCGATATTTAATGACAATATTTATTTATAAGGTGAATCGTGGAGAATTCAAAGAACATATGACAGATTATTTAAGACAACATCAATCTCAAACATCGGTTGTACCTTCAAAATGAAAACAATTTAAATAATTACAAAAATAATTTTGGTTGATCGTATGTAAACATTTTTAAGATATTTTATGTATTCGCGAATAATTGAATGAATAAAATAAGCCATTTTAAGCCAAGACTGCATACTTAAGTTGCTTCTTCGGATTACATTAACCCGCCACCGACATTATACACTCCGAGGTTTGGGATTTTAGAGTAGCATTAAATAAATAAAATAAATTCCTATGCCTTATGCCTTATCCCTCATTTTTTTTAATTATTTGGAATAGCATCACAAACTCAATGTTGAATAGACACTTTAAATGTTTTCATAATATATATTTATATATAATAACTGGTAAGTAAAAATACGACTTTTATAAAGCTATTCATACGACTTTGAAATGAATAACATACACCCAACACCCATAACAACTATTTTGAAATTATTTTTAAGTATCTATATAATCACTGTTAATTTTGAATTAAGTTATGATAGTCTTTCTTAAATGTATAAAAAATATACAGTTTTAAAATGCTTACAAATCACTCAATAATTCAAGTATCATCGAAAGCCTAGGAGGTGCCTTAAGATCTAGATAATTATCGTATCTTTAAATTTTATAATAGGTCAATTCACTCTAATTTTTAAAAATAACAAATTAAAACTATTATTGTGTTCTTAAAATTTGCAATATTGTGCGTTGTGAAGACAGAGACAACACATGTGGGTATAGCGTATGACGAATCTTATCAATGATTTTAATTTCTAACACAATATAATTACAAATATAATATACTCAATCGTGTTCTCTTAAAGGTAAATCGTACGCAATTGACTTCTACCCAAATATTTTGAGTATATTTATAAATTATAGGATATTTATTCAACAGTTATTTTATCTAGAGATCCGAAATTTCCGTTCTAAATATTTTTTTGTGTTGATATATTATACTACACTCACTGTTTAAATTAACGTAGTTTTTTTATATTAAAATTTAAAATATATTAACTATCAATATTTTTAAATCGTTAGCTCATTTGAACAAGTTGAGAGCCATGTTGATCATCTCCAACTGTATCTTATCTATTTCACATTTTCACCAATATTATATTACTCTTTATTTACGTATAAATACATCTACATTTTTTTTTTAAATTGTATTTTGTATACTTATTTAAAAAAATTATTTTTTAATATATTTTTACTCCAGAAGTTAGATCATTAGAAGTTTACGATTTCGAGAAGGTAAGGTTATTAATATAATATAATATAATATAAATTATAATAACATCATACGATATCAGAACAACCAACAACCACATAGACTCTACCAGGCCCTATTGATCTAACTGTTACCCGTTGGCCGTCACTCAAATATTATTGCACGGAAGATTAATTTGATTGGAGCGTAATAATACGTGGCTAATTGATCCATTAATTAGCTGTATACACGCGCAAGTCGCATAATCGTTTAATTATTACGACGGACAGCGTCGTATAAACTGCGACTACAGGGTATGTGCATATCGGTAATTTAATTATATAATAATATATAATATTCACTTTGAGTACACCATTTAGGCAATTTGCATTTTTTCCCCATCGATATTTTATAAGTATACGTATTGTATGATTTACGAATATTATACTGAATATAGGTATAACACGAAATACGAATGTTCGTCAAATCAATCGGCACGAGTGGCGGCAGAAAATCAGTTTTTATACAATGTGCTCATTTTTCCTTTAATAATATTTTAATGAACTTCAAATTTTTTGAATTTTTGAGAAATTCTTAATAAAAACTACATTTTCAAATAGGTACTTAGAAGTTAAATTTTTCATATACTATTTTAAGTAGTAGGTATATCCTAGCTGTGGCGATGCATAGATCATTTTTTCAAACGATAACCGTATTAATGAGAATAGTTTATCCTTGGTTCTCTGTGTTGAATAAGTTCAAGCTTTAATAGGTAACTCGGAAACTTTTCGTTGAATATCGAAACATTGACATTTTCAAAAAAAATCATCACTTTCAAAATTGCGAATAACAAAAAGTTGGTATTCATTTGAATGAAGCACCCTGCGTTGCCTGCACATAACACATCTGAAATAATAGTATAGATATATTTTAAGCTAAGTATAATAAGAAAGTAGAAGTCTAAGTACAATGAATTATGGTCCTTAAGTATAGTTGAAAATTCCTGCGCAAAAAGCCAAGTTTAAATAAATTCGATATCAAAGGCAAAAATGGGGGTGAATAATGCCGCGGGTGCATCACTCTGTGCAATATACATTTACCATTTACACGTTACTTTACACGATAATACGATGTGCACAAACAAATTTTAAACTTATACCGTCTCCGTATAATAAATCACATTCAAGCGATTGTCAGTAACAAACGATACGGCGTAACGAGGCAATCGAAATCCATCGCCAAAGTCGCTCGGGAAAATCAACGGATAGAGGCTCTCCGACAACATTTCATGTCCTTCAGCGTGTATTTGTCTACCGCCAGCAGTCGAAAAGATATACAAACAAACGAAATGAAAAAAAAAATACACTGAGAAAAATTACACACATCACGGCGGTTTACGTGCAACCTATTACTACGGTTCGTACTCTACAGGGTGATTCCAATCTGATCATTGAACACTCATGACTCATTATTTCAAAAAGTATAAATGTTTAGAAAAAAAAATGTACACGGTCTAAACGTTAAAAAACAACATTTTACAAAATTAATATTTTTTTACCCTCAAAATGTTACAGGTTTTTTACTTTTTTGAATACCAACATCCATTTATAATTTAAGTTTAAGTATTTAAAGCTTATATTAGCGGAGTGGAGTAGGAATTCTCCCTCAAAATATTGGTCTTTTACTCCGCTCATAAAACGTACTTATAACTCAAAAACCATTCATTCTAAATTCGATTTCTATTTATTGAAATACTCAGAAAAATATTTTATTTTCGAAGCCGAAATTAAAACTATAAGTTGTATTTTAAAAAACATAAAAATTAAAAAACTTTCAGGATTGGAACCATGTAACATTTTCAAAATCACTCTTACTTTTCGAATAGTGAGTGTCTTAAGTTAAAAGAATCACCCGGTATATATAGTTGGAATAAAACAGTGGTATCGTATCGAGAACTGCGGCGAGTCGTCGTCCAGACAACAGAACGAAATTCGAGTACATATTCAGATATTCAAAGTATATTATAATAATATATTATTCGTATTGCGTTAAATCGTTACATACAATAATAGTATACCACGCTAACAGTTTGGGTTGTGTGGATAAGACAAGAACCTATACAAATTCCTCGATGGCGTTCGATATTTTATCATTCTGGATTACCTTTATAATAATATTATGAAAAAGCTTTGTTTACGCGATTTCAATAAATTGAATTGATTCCATTTCGTATTTAGTTTTAGAACTTAAGGCTTTTAATGCGAAAAACAATACATAGGGCTCTAGTACATTTAGAACTGACGAGATGATTTTTAATTTTTAAAAAACGTTTTACAACACACAAATAAGATGTTAAAATTGATTCAAAATACGAATAAATCGCGACCGTCACTAGTTGGGCTAAGGCTAAGCGTTTGAAAAGTTTTCTAACTTTCTACTTCAGACGTTCTGAAGTATGCAGTAAGTAACCTCCTGAAGGGTTACGACAACAATATAGGTATAGTATTAAAAATATACAGCTCAACGTTTTTCGAACATGTCAACGCGTCTCTCAATTGATTGATCGAGTTCGAAGATCCATTCGCGACATCAATTTGAATATTCTATTCCAGAACTGATGACCCTGTGAGGGTAGGTGTCGATGTGATTAACAGTATTATGGTAATAGGTTGATACCGAGTTGCGGTCGAGATTATAACAGGTAAAAAAAAAATCCGAGTTGCGGTCGGGATCAAAACAGGTAAAATATCAAAATAGGTAAAAATCCTAGTTACGGTAAAAAAATATGATTATTAATTATTATGTTTTAAAATATTTATATATTTACATTTGTAATATTAAACCGGTTCATATTTGTATGATACACATTTCACAAATGTCAGCTAGTCAATTTGTTTTTTCAAATACTGTTGTATTTTATTTTTAGTAAATTTCTGATTTATGCTCTCGCTTTTTTTATTAGTTTCCAAATCTACTGAATTGATTTTTGAATATGTATCAATGTGAATATTTTTGACACATTTCAAAAATTCAAATATGTTGGGATGTGGCGATCGGTTCTCAGTTTTGAATTTAGAATTGAACGCTTCACTTCCATTATTCGTTCTCCAAAAATCATTGTTCAAAGCTGCCCAGAGTGTGGTTAGAAAAGTAGCATCATTCCCAATATAATTATCGACTAAAATAGTCACTAAAATCAGTAACTCTTGAATCTATAGGTTGTTTGGCGATTAAATCTACAAACACATATCCCACTTCATCTGGAGGGAGAAAAGTCAATCCAAAAACGTAGTGTAACCATTAATCGTTAACCGGATACTGACAGCAATTAAGACGTTAATTTTACCTTCAATATTATTAAGACCGCAATTCGTCTATTGCGACCGCAACTCGGACAATACCTGGTAATAGGGAGGTGCGACCGTTGAGACTGACGGCCATAGGAATTCAGATAGTAAAAAGCATTATGAACATGAATGGGTTTAGCAGAAAAGTACCTATACCTATATAGTATAATATCATTCAGTGTATTCATACAGTGCACTCTATGGTGTATGTCCGACATACGTAATTGTCATTATATTATACCATTATCGCCGCATGTGCAGTACCTACTACCTATATGTATATACATTATAGTATTATACAGGTAACGAACGTTACAACCCAAAAATTAAAATTAAAGTAAAATGTATACAGTATTATTGTTCTTCCGCCAAAGAATTAAGTCCGTTGATTGAAAATTACGGAAACTCTAATTTCAAGTATGTTTGTTTAAATTATTTTAAACCATATAATAGTTATATCGTAGTATCGGGATTTGAAACGTGCTCTTAAACTAGCCACTATATTTTAGGAGCAACCGGACAATTTCCCCCCGGACATTTTCCCACAGACTTTTTTTGGCGTAGTAGGACATTTTCCCCCCGAAAAATATTTCAATGCGGACATTTTCCCCCCACTTTTTAAAAATTATTTTTTTTCGTAAAAATAATAAATTATAATTATAAATGTAATTTTATGTAGGTATTTACATAAAATATAATTAATAGCTAATAACAAATATTAATAAAATATAGTCTAAGAATGTCGACATAAAAATAATATATTTTGTAAAAAACATTTAATTTCTGATTCTTTTACTATATCTAAGCACATATTTCGTAATCTTCGTTCATATTTATGTTTTTTTATTAAAAAAATCCTTACTGGTTTTAATTTTTAATAATTTATAAATTCAATGTTTATAGCTAATAATACAGTATGCTATTACTATTACTTTTCAATTAGACAATCTTTTAAATATATTACTATTATTTTATTATTGTTTCAAGTAGTTGAATTGATCAAAAATATACATCTACTATAATAGGAAATTATAGTATAATTGATTATATTCATGGAAAAAAAATAATAATTTCTTATTAAAAATAAATAATATTATATTATTAAATAGAAAACTTAAAAAAAAATGGAGGGGGAATGTCCGCATCGAAAATATATTGGGGAGATGTCCTACTACGCCAAAAACAATCGGAGGGATGTATGGGGGGAAATTGTCCACCATTCATTTTAGGTGAGTAGATTCTATTTTAAATAGTTAGGTTAGGGTATGACTTATCACTCTCAAAATACGTATAGATAGTAGATGAACGTATATAATATGGACAGAGCATCTTAAAAAATATTTTAACCAATTGAAAGATAATATTATGAATAAATTTATTTTAATGTAGGGGTTTGATTATTAAAATGTAATTCTGTATAAATATAATTCAAATAAGTGGAAAGTTTAATTGTAATTATGACGATAAAAATTATATATTAGAGCTGATAATATGACACATAATAATTAAAATTGTAACTAAGTGACAGTTTATCGCGCATAGACGCATATTTTACAAGATAGTTTCCAGTCGACGGTTACCAATTTTAGCCAATACATGTTTGTTCTGTGTGCGATCACTTTACTCGGTATACTTATATTATTATATAATAATTTACCAATTTAGGTGTAAGTCAATACTATTCTAACATTAATATCACAACATATTTTGTTATTTTCAAGTTTCTATACACGTACATTAATAACAAAAAATCATTAAAACACTTTCATACGCCCCTGCTCCCGATTTTTGTTCAATGTTTGTTTAAATAACAAGTAGGTACACAACATTTTAAGAACACAGTATAATATATTAAAAATAACATAATTTCAAAAAACATAATATTCTGTTTATATGCTAATTCAACAACGGTTTCCAAACTATAATATTTATTAATTAAAAAAATAATAATAGGAGGGTGGCTTAGTGATGCGAGGTCGAACACTCAATCTAGCATTCGGGTGTGTGACCAGCCAGGCTTTTAGCAATACATCCATGGCATACGTACAAACGTGTTCCAACCAACCGTTGCCCCCTTAATCCAAATAAAAATTAATAATAATAATAGGAGGACGAATTATTCAAACGAATATAATTATAATCTAAAATAGGCGTATTTAACAATCAATAATAATATATACGTCACATGTCTTTGGAAAAAACGTGGACAATTTAAGCCATTAATTGCGTTATTGTAAAAATTACTATTGTTCAATGTTCAATGGCCACGATGAGAAAACAACGTATTCGAATAAACAAAAAAGTAGTAATTTAATAACAGCAGTACATAAACAGAAACTAAATACAAATTCATTCCAAACGTCGTAATGGGCATAGGTTAAAAAATCGAAATTTTCAAATGGCCTACGACATAATATATATATACAGATTATAAGTGATAAATACATACATTTTATATTATGTAATTTAATAGTTATATACGAGTTTTAACAGGTACAAAAACCCTATACAAAAATAAATAATAAATATATCATGTAAATCGTAAAGTGTATAAATATATACAAACATTACATTACATTTTATGTGTACGCACTTCAATAGCATAACAGTGAGTATTTTTAGGTACACTACGTAGATAAGTATAGCCGTAATTAGGTACACTTTACCCAGTATACCCAACTACTATAAATACCAACTACCAAGTATAATGTTGAGTATATAGATAGCAATAGTACCGATTATTATACAACTATAATAATATGTAACAGGCCTTATTCTAACAAACAGTATGGAACACAAAGTGGACAGTATTAAATACCAAAAGTCACGACTTAACGATAGTGTGGGCTAAGTTGAAAAATAACAATCGGGTATGATTTAGATTTCTTTCGATAACTACGCCACTATAATACGAATTGAAATAAGAAAATATACGATTACCTACTACTAATTATATGACCAATGGGCAGAAGATAGCTTTAAGCTTATCGATTCCAACATTCTCGTAATCACGCCCTATGATCATGATATTATATCGTAAAATGTTTAAATAATAAACAGTCACGGATCTTAAAAATTACCTCTACTATCCTCTCATCAGAGTATCAGTCATCAACACATATTATTTTAAGGACAAAAATGAAAAAAAATATTTAAGATAGGACCTGCTATATATTGTGTATATAATAACTAGGTATCTACATACTCAACGATATCATATCAATACGTAAGGATCAACAAGACCTCAACTGAAAAAAATAGCTGGGGGTGGCCACAATTGTTTTAATATTTTAACAAAAATACAAAATCACTCTTGATACAATATTAGAGGCAATATTTACTGATAAATGTTTCTACTTATAGTAAAAATTCTAGGAACCGGACCCCTGGATCCCACCCACACAGTCACGTCGTTGAGTATTATATAATATTTAATATTTATATTAGGAATGTATAATACAATTATTATACACGGCATGGCATATACACTATGTAACAATATTACAGAAATAAAAAATGTATAAGATGGTCATATTCATACATGTATATTGTATAAATAGGTCATATAAAGTGTGTTAATTAAACGGAGTCATAGTAACCCAAGTTCTGCAAGAGGTAGTGCTAATATTTTTAAGTGCGATTTTATATTTAATACAATATAATACGACTAAAATGGCCTCCCTATTTTACCGCGATGATAAAATGTCATAAAAAAAAGAACTGCACTAAAATATTCGCACTGCGTCGTGGACTAGACAGGGTTACTGACGATCCAATTAATGAATGTACCCGTACTACGGCATATTATATACTATAGGTAGTACAGTCATTTATTACTACAGCTCGATCACTTCCACCTTTTGTTCTGCACCGTGGTGGTCCGCCGTGCGACCTCGAACGATCGGACGTATTCGGGCATGTCGCCGACGCCCACCAGTATCCGGGTGTACAGCTTCTCGGTGTCCACCCGGAACACTTCGTACTTGAGCGTGTTCAGCCCGTCGGCCCTGTAACGTTTCTGGCTGGTGTGCACCAACTTGAGTCGGACGGCGTGGGCGAGGGGTTTACGCTTGACGTGCTTGACCATCGTGTACCGGGCCAACCGCTCGGGCGGCCGGGTGATCGGCAAGCCGACCTGTTCCAACCTGAGTGGAAAAGACGACATCATATTTATTTTTGTTTACCGGTAGGTAGGCAGTTTTTAACAGAATGACATATGGGGTGAGCGAGGTGTGACATTGCGGAGGTGGAGGGTTGTTCGTGGTGAAACGCTAATACGCTATAGCAAACGGCTGTCGTTCGTGGTACCAATAGCTACCTATACATACAGAGTGATCCACCGTCAGCTCGCTCGATTCCATATATTCCGTTAATAATGAAATTATTCAAATTCTTATTTTTTTTAATTTTTCAGTTTACTTAAGGAATATTAATTGTAAGTAGGTACTTCAATTTTTTTATAATAGTTTAGGAGCATCCTACGGCGATTCTTATTTGTATAGACGAATACTTTCAGATTTGGACCACTCTGTTTTACTGGAAATTGTTTAGCAGATGATTTTTTTCAAATACATAATTAATGATTAAAAGGGGGTGAACATGCTTGGGGGATTTATACTGTGACAGTGAATATATTTATTAACAGGACACAACCACCTACCTACATAATATACATTTATATTTTGTTATTTTTATTTTTTTTTTTTTTTTTTTTT